TGTTGATTAGTGGCTAATTTGACAATTACAAGGATAAATGTAGCTGGAAAGAAAAAAATATCTTAGTACAGGGACATTGAGTAATTTAGGCCTTGGAGATTTGATAAACATAAAAATTTGTGTTCGTTGTATCCATCTTAATTAAGAGACGAGTATTAACCACTGATTACCTAATGTAGGTACTAAAACTATTAGTTATTTCTTTCGCATGAATTGTGTATTCTTAAAATTGTCTTAGTGAATTTTGGTCAGAGTTGTAATTTTTTCCTGAATGAGAGTTTTTCTCGGGGTTTTCAAGTTAAATCATTTTGTTTTTTTTATTGCCATCAATTTTTGTGTGATTTGCTTCATTGAATTGAAATTGTTAATAGGAAAAAAAATTTGAAGTGATAATTTTTAGAATTTGGACTATTCAGACCCTCTCTAGACATAACCTTTTTATGGACTCTAATATTTTAGAGGCCACTTTGGAGAAGAAAATGTTGCTTTCAAAGTCATTTTAAAGCTAATATATATATATAATTTTGTTGTATTTTCACCAATGACTTTCTAAAGTAGTATGTTAGTATATATGTATGCATATTCCAAACTTACTAATAAGCAGCCTTTGCCTTATTGAGTTCAAACAAAAACAAAAAAGGAAAGCCAGCACACTTGGGGAAATAGAAAGAGAGTCTTTCAAATAGGAGTATATATTTCTTTTCACATAAGAAAAATCTTGCATAATTGGTTAAACCACCTGTTTAATTTCTCTGCACGGTTTTTCTGTTCTCTAATATTTTTGCCCAATTTCATATTGTCATGGAAGTAAGGTTTTGAAATTTATAGTTTAAGTAATTTAATTTTTTTGAAATACCTTTGAGTAGGATATAAATTTGATGAAGGAATTTGAATTAAATTCAAACTCATCTTTTATCTATAAATATTTTGAAATAATCCTATCCATATGATATTATATATATCCATGCCCTAAGTAATTAAAAAGTGAAATAGAAAAAAGGGAAGCCAGCACACTTGGGGAAATAGAAAGAGAGCCTTTCAAATAGGAGTATATATTTCTTTTCACATAAGAAAAATCTTGCATAATTGGTTAAACCACCTGTTTAATTTCTCTGCACGGTTTTTCTGTTCTCTAATATTTTTGCCCAATTTCATATTGTCATGGAAGTAAGGTTTTGAAATTTATAGTTTAAGTAATTTAATTTTTTTGAAATACCTTTGAGTAGGATATAAATTTGATGAAGGAATTTGAATTAGAGTCAAACTCATCTTTTATCTATAAATATTTTGAAATAATCCTATCCATATGATATTATATATATCCATGCCCTAAGTAATTAAAAAGTGAAATAGAATATATTAAAAAAGAGGAAAAAATAGGAAAATAGAATGAGAGAAGAATAGATGTGCCACCTAGGAAAGAGTTTAATGAGATGTTAGGATTAAGAATTTAGAATTTTTTAAGAGATCACTACATTTGGTTATATATATAGTATATAGATAGATATGCTCTTGTACGGTTGAATTTGGAGTCATCTGCTCTTACTCAAGTTCAATCCATAGAAGATAGACTTCACGCTCCTCCTCCATTAAGCATCCATTAAGTCCGAGGCATCTTTAATTTCATCATTTTGAAAAATTGTTCTCTTTACTTTATTCCAGCTCGATGGTAATATTGTTTCCATCATTTTTTTTTTCACTTATTTTTTTCCCCTAATTTTTGCATTGCCCAACATATTTTGATTTTCCAATCATCAATATTTTCTACTAATAAATCCTCTTTATGCGGATATTTTGAAATTCATTTATGGCATTTTATATGGCCAAACGATGGCTACAACGCAAATTTAGATGAGGCCGCATATTTATCTGCATAACGAATTTAACACATTTGACTTACAATTACACAAAGAATAAGATAAGCAAGCTCGATGGTACCTGGAATACAAAATATAAAGAGTAAAAAGTCTCAATAAGTATCATTGTTTATTGTAGATATAAAAAAAATTAAAAATCTACTGTACAACATCCATCTATTGAGGAGCTAATGTAACTATTTGTAAGGAAAATTATACCACAATGATTTTAAAATAAGAAAAAGATAACATAATCAATTTATTGTTATACATGAAAAAAAAAAACACACACACACACAGAAAGGAAAAAGTGGTTTCTATTTTGATTTATTGTTAGATTTATTTTAAGATTTTTTAAAATTACAAAATAAGCACAAAACAGTGTCTTTTGTGGATTTGTATTGAATTTTACGTGATAGACATCTGATTGAGTGAATTGTGGGTGATGGATATGCATGAGTAAATTGTATGAATAAGACTTATGGAATTTTTTTTTTATTTTAAATAACGTGATAAACATTAGATATTTATAATTTGTATATATGTTTTTAATTTATTTAAGTTAAAGATATTCAAGAGTTTTTTTTTATAAATAATATGATAGACATTGGATATTTGTAATTTATATATAGATATATATATTTTGTGGGTTTATATTTTTATTATTAATTTATTTAAGTCATTATGTGATATTTAAGTTACAAATAATTGTGAATTTTTTTTTTTTTTAAATAGCGTGATCGATATTGGATACATATTTGTAGGTTTATATTTTTTTTTATTAATTTATTTAATTGAGAGTGAGATTTACTTTAATTGATTTAAGTTATGTGATAGACATCTAATTTTCTTGAATTTTAGGTGAACTACTTTTGATATGTAAAGGATGGGGTTTATAAAAATCGAAGAAAATATCAACATTGTTATATGAGAAGAAACAAATCAAATATGATTAAATTGAAGAACAAATGCAAACCACAAATTAAAAAGCAAGCCCAAACTATGCAAAATGTAATAATGGAGAAGATGAAAAGATGTGTAGATGAGCTAAAAAATATTGAGAAAAAGAAATATATACATACAAAAGTAATAAACACTGAAAAAATGCATATAAAGTAAGAAATAATATTAGGAGTATAAAAATAGAAAAGATGAAAAGATGTGTGGATAAACTGAAAAATATTAGGAAAAAGAAAACAAAACGAATTTGATTAAGATGTTTAGATGAATTGAAAGATATTGGGAAAAAGAAATATGTACATACAAATAATAAACATTGAAAAAAATGCATATAAAATAAGAAATAATATTAGGAGCATAAAAATGAAGAAGATGAAAAGATGTGTAGATGAATTGAAAAATATTGGGAAGAAGAAATATATATATATATACACAAAGATATAAAGTACGAAATAATATTACACCGACCTTGTAATAATTTTTGCAAATCATCAAATTTAGAAAATGTAACAATGGAGAAGATAATATGATTTTTGGAGATCATCAAACTTGCAAAATATAATAATGAAGATGATGAGTTAGTCTGAGAAAAGATAGATAGATGAAAGAAAAAAAGATGGGTAGATGAAAGAAAATGATTGAATTTGACTGAAATATGGAATAAACTGAATACAGAAACGGGTGTGTAGGAGTTGTAGGAGTTATAAGTGATGGATATGGATGAATGTAGATGTGAGAGTTGTGGGTGATGAATATAGATGAATACAGATATAGATGAATATTTTATTATTTTATTTTTATTTTATATTTTATTATAGGGAGAGGGAGTGAAAAGGCCTGAATAGTAGGATAGGGAGTAAAGAGAGGTGCCACGTATTTTTTTATTTTTCTAAAATTAAGAGAATTTAGGAATATGTTTTTGGAGCCTTTTGAGAACACAACATTTGGTTATATATATCATCAACTTAGAAAATGTAAGAATGGAGAAAATAATATGATTTTTTGCAAATCATCAAACTTGCAAAATATAATAATGAAGAGGATGAGTTAATCTGAGAAAAGATAGGTAGATGAAAGAAAAAAAGATGGGTAAATGAAAGAGAATGATTGAATTTAACTGAAATATAGAATAAACTGAATACAAAAACGTGTGTGTAGGAGTTGTAGGAGTTATAGGTGATGGATATATATGAATATAGATGTGAGAGTTGTGGATGATAGATACAGATGAATATAGATATAAATGAATATTTTGTTATTTTATCTTTGTTTTATATTTTATTATAGGGAGAGAGAGTGAAAAGATCTGAATAGTAGGAAGAGAAGTGAACATATTTTTTTATTTTTCTAAAATTAAGAGAATTTAGGAATATGTTTGTTGAGTCTTTTGAGAAAACACTACATTTTGTTATATATATGTGGGCCAGGGAAACTATTTTTTATCTTTTAAAAATTAAAATACAATTTATATATCTAGCAAACTCTTAAGATATGAAGAGGAAGAAGAGTTGATGAGCCACAGTTATCACAAGTGATAAATTATATAAATTGTAAGCTAAAAAAATATCGTTACTGCGGCTATAATAAAATAGTGATTTTAACTGATTATTAAATAGAGTCTCTGGGGTAACGTCATTATGATTTAGCAATAGTAGTCGTTATATCCATAAACTTATATTATTGGGGATTGTAAATTTTATGGTACACATCCCTTATGCATCTTTGGTTATGACTTTTGAGTCAATGTGATCTTAATTATGACAAAATTTTAGTTATGATTCAAGATTTATTTGGTTATATCTCATTTGATGTTAAGTTATAATTTTTTTTTTAAATCATGACTCTTGTAATATTAAATTATATTATTTGTAATAATCAAACTTATAAATGACATACTTGCACATGAAGTGTGTATCATAGCATTTCCCTATTGGGACTAGAATACTTGGGTTTGAATCCTTTCGATTACATAATTTGAATAGTGATTTTCATTCCAATGCATAAAATTGTAACATATTATTAAATCTCAAATCAACTGTCTGTAATTCTTAAGTCCATTTAAAATTTAAAATATTTTGGTGTAACTTTTCACAATTATTGATTGAGAAATAAACATCTACGTTTGATTCATGTAATCTATGTTTGATTCATATAATGGAGAGAATCCAAATATGAAATCCTGTGTACTCAGAAAATAATACATGTTTCTTGTCTCATTACTCACAATCACACAATTTTATTTTATTTCAGTGTAAAGAAAAAACTACAAACCCAGAAAACAAGAGAACTTCAACTAGCTCAAACCAAACAGTAAAAAGCAGTAGCAACAAAGCTCATACACACACACAGAGACAGAGAGAAACAGAGACAGAGAAATTCCCGCCAAGAAAACACCGTACTTGAGGAATTTACTTGCACAGAAACCAATTAGATAACCGGAAACAACTATCTCACATAAATGAGAGACCCAGTGAGAGAGTTATGTCCGATTATGTGATCGGTTTCTATATTCCTATACTTTTTGAGATGGAAAATCTGCTTAATTATATCTTCAACCATTCCAAGCATGGACACAGACCCCAGCAAAACCTAGCAGGATAGTAGTCCTTCAAGTACACCTCTCTGCTAAAACCAATGATATAGAAACTGAAGGGTCGACCGCGATGAGCCATGGTAACGCGAGTCACAGGCACAACAGAGATAGCGTGTCTCTCGCATATGACCCTGGCAGTAGGAGGCACTGGGGCCCTGTCGGCAATTACTTCAGAGGAGAACTTGTTGAGGAAGAACGAATCCGCAAAAAAGGCAGGACTACACTGATGGGCTTGAGTGTTGCACAATTGGACCCCTTTGGCTCTGTGGAAGACCTCATCTGGAACTGAGGCTGCTCCGCTTGTCGCACTTACTTTTCGAGTGGAAAGTGTCTTCCTGCAAAGGCAAAAACTCACATCCTTAGGTATGATGTCAACTGGCTTATGCACAAGAGAGATTTGTGGAGGGAAAAGAAAAGGGAAGAGAAAAATGACAAATAATAGCTTCTAATTTTGTCACCTTTTCCTTCATTTTCCTTCCCCCTCTTCATTTTTCATGATGACCAAAGAAAAAGGCAGGAAGATCTCACTCAACATATTTACTTGGGAAGAAAGAGATAGAGGGATAGTTTGCATCTTCTATGACAATCACTACTTTCAGATTTTTGCATAATAACTTTGCCAAAGCTAAGAAAGTCCATAACTAAAGTAAAAGAGGTTCTATATCATCCAACCGAACATATAGAAGTTGATCCATTGAAGCTAATCTCTTCTTACTTTTGTTGTTGTCTTTTTCTTTATTGTTTTTTGTTTATTTGTTCCCCCCCTCCCCCTAATTCTTGAGGTTTTAGGCTCATGCTTAACAAACAGTGGTTAGTAAGAAGTGGTTAGTAAGAAGCACAGACACCTCTCCGGAGGCAACGTATGGGTGTCGGACATGGACACGGACACACGTCGGACATGCGGTGGACACATGTCGGACACTCTGCCTTGCAATAAATTACCCCCTTTTTTTTGGTTGAATTTCTTCAGCCGGACAAGCTTGGGACACTCTTGGACACTTTGTGGACACGTTGGAGACAAAAAGAGAAAAACCCTAACCCATAGACAAGGAAATAGAGAAACAGAGAGAAAGAGAAAGAGAAACGGTGAAGAACCTATTGAAGCCCTAGACCTGAGGTATGTTCTTCTTTTCTTCATTTTTCTTCTTCGTTCTTCTTTTCTTCTGCATTTTTCTTCTTCTTTCGTTGATTCTTCTGTCCCTCTCTCTCTCTCTCTGTATGTCTGTGCGTGTTCTCTCTCTCGCTCCCTCGCTATGTGTGTTCGACTCTCTTTTGCTTTCTCTGTGTTCGATTCTCTCTCTCTCTCTATTCAACTCATCTTCTTTGTTTGACTCTCTCTCTCTCTCTCTCTCTCTCTCCGACTTTCGCTGTGTTGACTCACACCCTCTTATCTCTCTCTCTCTTGTTTCTTTTTTTTTCCCCTGTTTTTCTTTTTTAATTTTTTTTGGATATTAATCTAAAATAAATTATTTTTATTTATAAAAAAATAATTTGTGAATGAAATTTGATGTTAAAGTAAATAAATAAAATAAATAAATAATATAGTTTTTTTTTAAAAAAAATTAGGTAGATAATATTTTTTTAAATATATTTTATTTATAAATAATATATATAATTTTATTTATATAAATAATATTTTTTTTAATTTTACATATAATAAATAAATAAAATTATATATTGAGCATGTCTCCTATTTTTTGAAAATTTGTGTCCACATGTCCGTATCGTGTCCCGTGTCCATGCATCATAGGTTGGCCTAAATTAATGGCTTTTTGCTTTATAACAATAAGGCCATATGGGTATCATTCTATCAGAAACAAACAGACATACCATCTAACAATGCCGATATTGCGTGTCAAGAGAGAACCACTGCCTTCACATGTCTTACATTTAATCAGCCCACGAGATCCACAGGTTGCACAAGGAATCTTTCCCTTGCCATCACACTTCACACATCTGCAGGGACAAAGCGATTCGATAAATTTAAATTATACCAAATAGCTGCCTCTTCCATTGCAAAGCAAGAAGAATAATCAATTTTCTGACATCAAAGGTGAATCTACTATGCATCTAGCAATCAGGCTCAATGGTCAACAATGTCACGTTTAAGATCCCATTTTACATTGCGAAAAGAAGGGAGAGCATGATCCAGAAATCTAAAGCACATAACCAGCTAGGGCAAAAATTGATTGCTTGAATCATCTATTAGTAAGCTAATAGATCCATGAATAATAAACAGCTCACATTGTATCAGATCCATCTCTATGAGCAACCAGACCCCTCCCATAACAGGCAGGGCACTGTGTCATCAGATTTTCCTTGTAAAATCCCAGTTGTTGATCTGCATTGCAAGTGGGACATACATTATCTCCTCGACCAGCACAACCTGCCAACATGTTAAGGCTGCATCAGGAATCAACAATCCGGGCTGCTACCATATGGAACACGTCTTAGTAGAAGACAACACTAGAGATTACAGCATTAGTATGATAAGAAGAGACCAATGGAGGAAACCAGAGTGACAGAGGCACATATATGGGACAGATATGAATGTAGATTAAAAGACTTCAACATATGAATTCCTCCTCACTGAGTGTAGAAAGTCCACTGTTCCTGAATCCATACCTGAGCATTTTTCAATAGCTTCACAATGTGGAATTTTGGCCCGTGTTTCTTTATGAGGTATAAATAAAACCGGGAATTCAGTCCTTAAATCCAACTCCCAGATTCCAAGTTCAGGCCCCTTATCCTTTCCATCCACATTGCCATTACGGTATGGTTCTGTTTCTTTTACTGTTTCTCTCTCCTCAATGAAAGTCTCTAAAGTTCCGACATAAACATTGCAGTCTTCCACTGCATGAATTTTCCATGTCCGAGCTGGATGACTTCCCCAACAGCAACGATGACCAACATGATCAATAAGCAATTCTCGTATTTCTACCTCATCCAATATTTGCCTATACAAAGAATTCAAGAATCAAAATGATGATGCAGACAAATTCCAAAAAATGTTGCACAAAAAAAAAAAACTCCAATTATAAGAATTGAGATTTGCCCCACACACAATTGAAGTTTTATACCAATGGCAAAACTGTAAATGCATTCATATCCAGGAGGTAGGTCCGTTATTTGGAATCAAGCAAAAGATAAACATATGGCAATAGATCAACCCATTTAAGGTTATGCCAAATATCCAAATAAACAAGTCTATACAATTTCCTTGAGACAGGAGACAACAAATATGAGTTATCTGAGTTTTCCAAGCATGCTCCTGGTACAATGGATTTTCTCTCTCCCATATAAAAAATACAGTTCGGGAAGAGAAGATATAAAAGGGCAACAAGGATGATACAGCACATCTTTGGTTGTGTTTTCGTTTTCTTCATTATTGGTTTTCATGTTTTCAGGAAAGAAAAAAATCGAAAACACCAATCCCTTTCATATCATTTTATTTTTTGTGCAAAAACAGTTTCCAAAAAAAAAAAAGAAAAAAAAAAATGGTGTTTCCTAAACAATGAGTTGATTTCAGAAATGTTCCTGAAAATGGCTTTCAAAAACAACTTGCCAAACAAGTTTAAAATTTTCATAAGCTCCATTTATTATCTAGAAAAAAAGAGGATAAAAATGAAAGGTTCTTGAAATTTCTCAATGAAATTCTATAAAATAATAATACTAATAAAAGATTGAATGGAAACAATAACTATCCAGGAAACCTGCAATTTTAAGGATTGTTCTCCTCACATCAACATCATTCATGAACAATGCTACACAAATGAGGAGTGGTTGATACATCTTACCCTCAATTTCCTTTTCTGTAACTATTCACCAAATTGTTACTCAATTTATTTTTGCAAGGATAATATGGAAATTTGTCTCGAAGAAAGAAGAAAAGAAATAATGAGAAGGATCCCAATAGCAAGCGATGTGTAGCACAACTGGCATAAAGTGGGTATCTCCATTTCATATTAGTCTGCACCAAAAGCTAAATCTATTAAGCAATGGGCCAAACAATACATATCAATCTATTCAACACTCGTGCAACAACCAGACGAATGCACAAGCTAAATTGAACATGGTGCACAAACATAACGATGGAAATTAAACCTAGGATCTCCTGGAATGAGAATTTGAATACCATGTTAAATTGTTCACTACCATCACATTGAAAGCTTATGCTGTTAGAGAAAGGAGTAACTTCATTAAGATGTATAGGTAACTTTATTATTTGTATCCTTAACACTCCCACTCACATGTGGCCATGCTCCCATTCATTAACGGATAGAACACCAGTTATCCCAAAAGCTTAAATTGTCAAGAAATGAGCCCAATAATGTATGTTACGCTAACACTCAATAAATCGTGTTGAAAAAAGAAAAAAAAGGCATAGTAACATATCCTCCTCCCATGGCATCCCAATCAGCCCTTTGTTTCATTCTTAGCTAAAACAATAGAGCCCCAATGCAAGGGAAATTGGACCCACAATTATTAAAAAAACATGAAGTTATCACCCCAATTAACTATTGAATAGGTCCTTAGAAAATCAATATTCTATAAGTCATTATTGAACCTCACCTCTGAAATTCATTAGAAATTCCACCATAATCTCCTCCATATCCACCTTGATAAATGAGAGCTTGCTCTGCAAAAAGTGGCTCATAGTTTAGCATCCAAAATAATATGCTATAGTCTAGTACTTGCAGGGAAGCAATCGATGAAGCTATGTTGCCATATTAGCCTTCAGTACATCATAATGTGTTCTAAACAGAAACATGTATTGAAACTATAAAAGCTGGCCTTTTTAAATTAAGCAGTGAATCAAATCAATTCAAATCAAATAGTCCATGTAAATAAAACCCAGTAGCCTAATCAACTATACAGTGCCCATAATCACTTCAAGTAATTGTCTATATGCCTAAACACTTCATTCGTGACTCCATTGTTCTACTAAATCCTTGGTGAATCTAGCTCAAGAAAACAAATAATTTAAAACAACTCTAATAGGTCAGATTTGTAGATTGCTGCCAATTTGTTTGCTTTAGTTTTTTCTTGATTTGGATTAAAATTTAGCAGAATGATGCTACATTACTGAGAGATTTAACTCACATGTGAGTGGCAAAATTCCTTTCTAATCCCCTTGCTTTTTCTTTTCTTTTCTTTTGCTAGGCTAAGAAAATGCAAATTCAGGGAGGCCAAAACTAAAAGTAAATATCATATCTCTGGCAATGTTAAACATAGGGATGAGGTCAAAATCCAATATAAACCATAAACTTACTCAACCAGTCATTTAGTAGAAACACCAAATTCAACACTTAAACTGAACATGTTTCACTGTTTAGTGAATCCTACCAAACACAACTTTCCTTTCCTAGAATGCAGCAACAAAATTCACAAATTCTGAACCACAAAACAACACCCAAAATATTTAAAAGCAAGAAATATCAAAACTTTCTTCTGGGTATTGTAGTAACCAATTGTTAAAACAAAACCCTCTGCTGGGTTGCTGAAATTTCAATATAACATTAAACTGTACTGTTTCTGTGATTGTTCATATGCATATATATGCGTGAATCCAACGAAACACAACTTTCCTAGTATGCAGCAACAAAATTCACAAATTCTGAACTACAACACCACCCAAAAAAAAAAAATCCAAACTTTCTTCTGGGTATTGCAGTAACCAATTGTTAAAACAAAACCCTCTACTGGGTTGCTGACATTTCAATGTAACATTAAACTGTTTGTGTGTGTGAGTGAGTGAATCAATTGGGGATATTATTCAATTGGATTACCATTAGGATCTGGTTCGGGTGAGCTGATCAAAGGGGCGTGAAGAGAAGGAGGGTAATATCGATCAGAAGAAGCAGTAGCAGATCGAATTTCGTCGACGCTGACTTCAGTTCCAGCCAAGGAAGCTGTTGGAATTATGGAACCAGCCCTTTCCACGTACTGATACGAACTCCATCTCTCGAAGCTTTGTGTCTCTTCTACAACATCGCTCTTCTCTGTCAATCAGAACGCAAATTTACAAATCAAAACATTGGGGAAAACCAAAATTGAAAGCCTATGAAGATGGAATTTTACCTGAGAGCAATGCCTCCTCCATTTTAGTTTCTTGTTCCATATTTCTTCGGAGAGAAAGAGAGATTGAGATTCAATTATGCAATGAAATCGTCATATAGGAGTGTATATATATATGTATATTATATGAAGAAATGAAAATTAAAAATTGCTTCGTCGGTAAGGAAATGAATTAGATTATGATCGAGGAAGGCTGGGGTTTTGTCTTCACTTCATTGTCAATGGGGCCACGCTCTCTGTAACAGCAGTTTTGAGTTTATTTTTTGCAGGCTCGTTTTACCTTCTTTTTCTTTTGGTGAAAAATATTTTTTATTAATCTTTTGTTAAATTTTTTTTGGGAATTTTTTTTTTTATAATATTTGGCGGTTTTGTTATTTATTTATTTATTTATTTATTTATTTTAGCTTATTAGGTGGTGGCATAGCGAGTGACAGTAATGATGGATAGTGTTAAACAGTGTTTTCAGTCTTTTAAAAATAATAAATATTTTTTATTTAAATAAATTTATTTATTTTATTAATCATTAAAAATGTTTATATCGATTTTTGTTTTTTATTATATCAAATAAAATAAAAATTTATAAATAGACTATTCTCAGGAGCACATAAAGTAATTCTTGTGTCAAAATAAAAAGAATTTTTTTTTTAAGATCCCTCGTATTATGATTTTATAGTATAAATGATATAAAATATTTCAATAGTAGTTAGAATTCCTCAAATTTTTACAGAGAAATTTCTCTGATTTGCTCATAATTTTCTTTATATTTTGAACAAATTAAAGAAAATTGAGCTACTTACAAACTAAAGAGAGGCTAGAGAAAATTTAGCTACTCACAAACCAATTTCTCTATATGGTTTTGAAAAAATTTGAACTATGTATGAGCTACTCACAAACTAATTTTCTCTGTGTGGTTTTGAAAATGTCTTTTTTTGGACTTCAATTTATTATAATTACTAGCTTTAGCAACTATACAGCTCAATTATTGTAATTGCATTTGAATGGAGCTTGTAGAGAACTAAATTATTATAACTAAAAAAAGGCTAAAATTAATCTTCATGGAAGTAGTCAAATCATTCACAGCATATGAATAAGTATTAAATGATATTTATGCATCAAACGAAGCATATTTAAAACTCTAGATCGAAACTAGTACAAGAATAGAACGTAGAGAGAGAGACCTTGAGTTTGATAACAATAGATTCCTTAAGGGTGGCGATGCCCTAAAGGTCGACTACCTAGTTTTGGTCAAATGTTCTGAATCTTTGTCCATCTATAGAGTCATTACTGCTTTGATTTTGCTTTACTATACAAAGAGAGAGAGAAAGGGTTTAGGAGAAATGAGATGTCTAAAAACACACTATCTATTACAGTGAAGGATCTAAGGACCTTAGGTTACAAAAAAAAAAACAAAAAATACTGCAAATCTCTCACATTAACAAAAGTTGAAGAGAAATGTTAGACTAAATGACCCAAATATTGAAAACTAATTGGCTTAATGTGTTGAATTGTAGCATAAATCATGCATGCATGCTTATATCCTAGCATTTTGAGGTTGAATACATGAAATTTGGCACATGCATGTTCATATTTTTGCATTGGACCATGAACTCATCTTGATTTTGAAGGAATTGACTCATTTGAGCAAGTAATTGAAGATTTGAATTGGTTTAAACTCATGCATGCCATGTTTGAGTTATGTTCTTGAAATGTTGTTTGAAATTGGATTTATTTGAACTCCCTTTGGGCTTTGATTTTTACAATTGAGCTTTGAATCATGTTAAACTATGAGTTTTGAAGTGTTTTCCAGGAAGTGGGTCCAAAGGAATCGAATTTGATTCATTTGAAGTTGAATTTGAGCTTAAGGTTCAAATCTGGGAATTCCAAATTTTGAACTCACGCTCGAGCGGGGTGACTGGCGCTCGAGCGTGGAAATCATGCTCCCAGCATTTTGTTCTGTTTTTAAGTCAGCTCGAGCGGAGTAATTTACGCTCGAGCGGGACCTTGTGTCTTACGCTCGAGCGGGTGTCGAGAGCCCAATCGAGCGTGAATTTCACCTATCCAGCACTTTTGACTGTTTTGCAGTACGCTCGAGTGGGTAATTATACGCTCGAGCGGAAACCTTTGTCTGCATGTCCGCTCGAGCGGAGTAACCGACGCTTGAGCGAGAACCCTATTTTTTGAAAATTCTGAAAATACTTTTAAAGTGCATCTTTGCATCCTCATTTCATCATAGGCATTCTTAGGCCTAGTTTAAGGCATCTTAATGAGGATATAGATGTAGAACCACACCAAGTCTAAGTAGAGACTAAGTCTTTGTTTCCCGAATGTGAACTTAGTGTGTGTTCATCACGTAAACTGTGTAAGGTTGGCATCTGAGGATGCGCTCTAGCTTAACTGTAGCCCAGAACTCTGTGAGTAACAACTGTGCAAAGATATGTTCAAATATGATTATCTTCTGAATAATTGAACTGTACTGTTTTTTGAAATGATACTGCTACTGAATGAATGATGTCCTAATTGTGAACTGTATTGTGGCATCCTTAGCAACTACTGTTACTGTTACTGCTACTACTACTGTTACTGAGATCTCTGTCCGTTTCCATATTGGAACCACTACTGTTTGCTGATATGATGGCCATCAACTGACTGTTCGGTCTGATAAGACGTACTGTATTGTTTTGCTACTGGATGTACCACATATGACTGTTATGACTGAATGACTGATATACTGAATCAATTGACTATTTTCAATACTGAAAGGACATTCATTCTTAACCTCTTTACGCATTATGTTATTCACTGGGCTTTAACTCACTATTTATATATATATGTAGGTGTTCAGGCACCAGACCGGAGCTAGGAGCGTGTGTTAGACTCCCTTTTTTTGTCAAGCCAACCACTATGCCTCACCGCGAGGTTCCGAGCCTGCCAAGCTATGGCTTAGGGGTGTTTTAATTTCCCTCGTCTGTCTCTATATCTGTTTTGTAATGTTGTATAGACTGATACACTGTTACTGTATTGTTTTAATAGGGATTAAGTCCTTGACCTGGATGATTGTAAATGTTGTACAAACTATTTTGCACTGATTGTACATATGTATAAAAAGTCTTTTTGCATACAGACTGTCACAGCTCATTGGACACTGTTTACTTATTGTTTTGGCTTCCGCCATGCCCCTGTACTCTGCATTACTGTATTACTGTTAAGTAGGCCTTCGGTAATCTCGGATTACTGGCCGGTTATGGTACTAAACCCATAGGGGCGGGTTTGGGTCGTGACAGAGTGGTACCAGAGCGATACTTAACCACGAGTTATACCCACACACGTGTCCAAATGAGCTATAGGGTGTCCTAGAAGAGCAATTAAGGCATCACATGAGCATGAAAAGTGTGTGTAGACATGACATGAATATGTGTTAATGTATTGAAACATATAACTGCTTATGTTTAAATGCTTAAAGTATGCAACTTCCTATGTTTATTATTACTATGTTGCATATAGTGAAATGGATAATGCAAGCACTGCTAATGAAACTGAATCCTCTGAGGCAAGAATGGCGAGGTTGGAGAGAATGGTGGAACTACTAACCGCAAGACTAGAACAACAACAGAACCAACAGCCCCCACCTCCTCCTCCGGTACAGCCGGAACCGAATGTTAATGATGGGGATATAATTGCTCTCACCTAGAAATTTAGTAAGATGAAACCGCCATCCTTTCAGGGAGGCCTTGAACCATTAAAAGCTGAAGCCTGGGTTCTTGAAACAGAAAAGTTATTTGAAGTGTTCCCGTGCTCTGAAGCACATAAAGTATTGTTGGCCACCTTTACCTTGCAAGAAGAGGCGAGAAGGTGGTGGATGCTAGTCTGTGACACTAACACTGTTGTAACTTGGGCTCAGTTCAAGGAGTCCTTCTTCGAAAAGTATTTCCCTCAGTGTGTCAAGGACAGAAAGGTGACTGGATTTGAATAGCTGAAACAAGGTACCATGTCCGTAGGAGAGTATGAAACAAAGTTTATAGAACTTGCCCGTTATGCACCACACATGGTTGATACAGATTACAAAAAGGCCAGGAAGTTTGAAGGTGGCCTTAATGTAGAAATACTCAACAGGATTAATGTACTGAAACTGCTCAAATATGTAGATGTTCTTGAGCAAGCCATTATGGCCGAAGCAAATATCGAAGCTTTGAAACAGACTGAAACACTCGCAAATGAGTGGCGCGGGAAGAAATGGGGTTTTAAATTCAAGAAAGGCAGGAACAACCCACTGAACAAAAGGCAAAACTCAGGGTCAATCACCAGCTCCAGTCAGGGAAGTGGTTCCATACCGCCCTGCTCCGAATGTGGTAAGAAACACAAAAGGGTTTGTTATAAATTATCTGGTGCTTGTTACAGGTGTGGCAAGGTGGGCCACATGGTAAAAGATTGCCCCTCTGCTCCTCAGGGCAATAGTAAAGTTGCAGCCAGCGGCGCAGCATCAACTGCTCTACCAAAACCTAACCTCAAAGCGACTGGAAAAGAGCCTATGACGTACAAAATACCGAGACCGTTGTGTCAGGTATCCTCTCTATTTGTACCCAAAATGCTTATGTACTGATTGATTCGGGGTCTACACATTCGTATGTGTCGCATGCCTTTTCGCAAAAATTGAATAGACCATTAGAACCCATGAATTATCTGTTAGTTGTATCTTCACCTGTTGGGGGATCTATGACTTGTGCTTATATGTATCCTGCATGTGAAATTATTGTTGCGAATATGCATCTGTATATTGACTTACTGCCACTGAATATTGACCATTTCGATGTAATATTGGGGATGGACTGATTACAAAAATATCATGCTACTATTGACTGTGTAACTAAACAAGTGATTTTTCGTCCACCTGGTTTACCCGAATTTGTGGTTAATGGGGTTGGAGTAGTACCTCCCCCGTATCTGATTTCATCCATGAAAGCCTGTGAATTGATTAAGAAGGGATGTAAAGGGTATCTGTGTTATGTATTGACTGTACCTACTGATAATAATGCTAATGTGAACAGTATTCTTATAGTCAGAGAATTCCCAGATGTTTTCCCAGATAGTCTACCAGGGGATTTGATTGATAGGGAGATTGAGTTCACTGTTGATGTAATTCCGGGTACACAGCCAGTATCTAAAGCTCTATACAGAATGGCATCTACCGAATTGAAAGAACTGAAAGTTCA